AATAGCTCACACCTATAATCCTAGCTATTGAGGAGTCTGAGAATCATGATTCAAAACCAGCCTGGGAAGAAAAGTCCATGAAATGTTTTATCTTCAATTAGCCGCCAAAAACACCAGAAGTGGAGCTCTGGCTCAAGTGGTAGAATGTTAGCCTTGAGCAAAAGAAGCTCAGGAACAGTACCCAGGCCCTGAGTTCAAGCCCTAGACCTGGTGCACATACCTCATCCCCTCTCCCCCCCAAATTATAAATAGCTTAGATAGAAAATTGACATTATAGAAACAGTCCAGTAAATAATCCTACATTCACTAGTTTGGAATACTGCAGCCATTTGAAATGTTCCTGAAAGCTAATCCAGGAGGAAAATGCTCTTTATAGAAAATAAAATTATTTACCCAGCAGGTGTTATTGTGTGTGCCTGAGGTTTGAATCAGGGCCTTATACCTTACCTGCTGCATCACTTCAGTCACCACATATCTAGCCCTCAAACTGCAAAATTTCTGTGTTTTGTAATTTCCAGGTCATAAAAATGATAGTTTTATGTATAACTTTATAGATTTTTTTTTTTTTTGGTCAGTCGTGGGGCTTAAACTCTGGGTCTGGTGCTGTGCCTTAGTTCTTTAGTTCAAGGCTAACACGCTACCCCTTGAGCCTCAGCACCACTTCTGGTTTTCTGAGTGGTTTATTGGAGATAAGAGTCTCAAGACTTTTTCTGCCTGGGCTGGCTTTGAACCATGATCTTCAGATCTCAGCCTCCTGAGTAGCTAGGATTACAGGCGTGAGCCACCAGTGCCTGGCAACTTTGTAGATTTTTTTTTTTTTAATGAATGAAACAAAAGTAGAAAGCATATTGAAAAGGGAGTATGTTTGCAGAGGATTTCTTCAGTGTATCTTATTTCTTAAATGTAAACATATTTAAAATGCACATTTAAATAATATTTGAGAAGCCAAACAAAATAATAATACAGTTAAAGTGCTATGCATGTTGTCAGTAACAAAAAAAAAAATACTATCTTCGTGGTCTTGGGGGGGGCGGGGTGGGAAAACCTCAGTTTGGATGTCCCATAAGCATTTCTGGTGTGTTTAAAGTTAAATTTGTCAACTTCCTTCCCAACTTATATCCTCTGAACCCCAACCCCATTTTAGTATAGTGAGAAATAATATATATTATACCTTTATAATAAATGTGTGTATGGAGACATGGACCATATTTGTGTGAACCATAATTGCAAATTTTTTAAAAACATGAAAAAGACAAAAGAAATACATCAAGATGAACAGTTCTTATTCTCTAGCTTATCTGATCTAGGGTGAATTTTGCTTAATACTTTTGTAATTTTATGAATTTTTTAAAATGTGGCTTTATAATATGTAGAATTAGAGAAAGAGTTACATGATATAATCCTACTTTATGGTCTTCTATATGGAGATTTTATTATCTGTTTAGTAATGTACCTTCAAAGTATATGGTCTCTGCTTAGGATGGTTTTTCTTTAGAAGTTACCATACATATACAAATATGCTCTTGTTTTTATTAAGTTTTGTTTAACATTTTAAGAGAGTTTTTTGGAAGAGCAGAATTTTATTACTAAACTTGACTTCATTTAGCCAACATACTCTGTGCCAGGCACTATTGTAGAAACCAGGGATATAAAAATACAGTTTCATGGAAGGATAGGTAAACCAACATCGTACTATATAACAGATAATACAGTCTGATGAACACCATGGCAGAAGTGATCTTAAGTTGTGATGAAGCTTTGCCATAATTGCACTGTGAATTATGATGTCTTTTTCTTCTCCAGAGTCTTTCTTCAGTTCATGTGGGAGTTTAAATAAACTAAGTGAAGAGCCACTGATTCCTCCTCCTCTGCCTCCTCGAAAAAAGTTTGATCATGATGCTTCAAATTCCAAGGTAGTTAACAGGACCTACATTTGCCATTCAGAGTTGTCTGTCAGTTGTATTTTGGCTAGCCTCTATGATTTTTCAACATTTTGATGGTTGTATATGGAAAATACTTTAAGTAGTTGTTTAATCATCATAAAACCTTACCTTGAAAGGAAGAAAAAATGGTGGGTACGCTCACATATACTCAGAAGTCCATTTTCTTCTTGGTACAGATGGAAAGAACTTTAGTATTCTAAGGATTTTTAAACTTCCAAACAATGCTCCTCATATTTAAAGGCACATCAAAATCACCTGGACAACTTGTTAAAACCAGATTGTTGAACTTAATCTGAGTTTGTGGTTCAGTAGGTCTTGGGCCCATGCCTAAGAATCTGCCTTTTGAACCCATTCTCTGTTGGTGTTGACACTGTCCCTGGGTATCACTTTGAGATCCACTGCTCTAAACCTCTTGGGGTAAAGTAGAAGTAGATGCCCAGTATGTAGAACTTGATATTGAATTCTCTTGATATCATGTCCTTTTATGTCCACATAACTATCACCTTTTCACTTACTTGAAATGCACAAAACAAAATAACCACTGAAGATAAAGCTTTATGTTTAAAGATTTCAATGGAAGTATTGGGTATATTCAGCTATTAAACTGGGGCCTTAATTAAAACTGGAAGTAACATACTAAAATTGGTTAATTTCAGCCTCTAGATTAAACACAGAAGAATTTGTCAGTCTTTTAAAATTGTCTTACAAAATTTTCAGAATACAAACACAATTTAATTATTTTTTCTTTTTAAAGGGAACTATGAAACCTGATGATGACCCTCCTGCTATTCCACCAAGACAACCTCCCCCTCCAAAGATAAAACCCAGAGTTCCTGTTCCTACTGGTGCATTTGATGGGCAGCTGCACAGTCCACCTCCACCACCGCCAAGAGATCCTCTTCCTGACACTCCTCCACCAGTTCCCCTTCGGCCTCCAGAACACTTTATAAACTGTCCATTTAATCTTCAGCCACCTCCACTGGGACATCTTCACAGAGATTCAGAGTGGTTCAGAGACGTTAGTACCTGTCCAAATTCACCAAGCACTCCTCCTAGCACACCCTCTCCAAGAGTACCACGTCGATGCTATGTGCTCAGTTCTAGTAACAACAATCTTGTTCATCCTCCAGCTCCCCCTGTTCCACCAAGGCAGAATTCAAGTCCTCACCTACCAAAACTGCCACCAAAGACTTACAAGCGGGAGCTTTCGCATCCCCCATTGTACAGACTGCCTTTTCTAGAAAATGCAGAAACTCCTCAATGACCTTTGTCATATATAGTCATTGACACTGGAATAGTATTTGTAAAGATTTTTTTTAAATTATTCAAAAATGCATAGTATTTTAGTACTTTTTACAAATAATGCTCTTACAAAAATGCTACTGGTCAAATAAGCTTTTAAGAATTAGGGAAAACAATTACAAAAGTCCTTCGCCATTATCCTCAGGTGATCAGTAGCATTGCCCTGTCTTGGATCCTCAGTGCTGCCAGAAGGCCAGTAAAATGAATTGATATTTGCACTGTAGACTCTGCTAAAATATGGCTTAAAGTGATTTTGATTGCACTGAAAGGGGATAGTGCTTTTATGGAATTTTTCAAGTTTCAGTAATAGATGCCTTTTTAAGGCAATGAATTTACACAAATTTAGAGGGTGTATTATGGTGTATTATAGTTTTTAAACCTCTTTGACCATCTTCCAGTTTATACTTCTAGTTTTTACATCTAGGAGAATTGTGAATAACACCCATTGTTCTTAAACTCTTTAATGCCATGTCTTAAATGCCAGTATTTGCTGCTGAAGACAAAAATGAAAAGTGGAATTGAAATAATAGAATGAACTGTGTTTATTACTTTATCAAAATGTAAACAAAGGTTTCATAATACAATTATAAAGGAACAAAAGGGCATGTATCTCATTCAGATGTGCCTTTTGATTTTGCAGAGTATGTTGTCTTTAGCTAATGAATTGAATATTGTTTTGGAAAACAAAGTTAATATGCCATGTATGTACAGTTTTGTTTATATTGTATATTTAAAGATAATGCTAATAACCTATATAAATTTAAGTGACTTGAGGCCTATAATACAATCTGCTACTTTACTAATTCATAAATTCAAAACAAAAGTTTCTTATGACAGAAACGAATCAAATTGCCTTCAAAATTTAGCAATGTTTTCTCTAAATCTCATGTTAACTGAAATTTTTTAAAAAAATATTTTGTTAGATTGGTGATATCTAAACCAGCAGGTAGTTAAAGCTTTATTAAACTTTTTAAACAGAGAAGTGAGTAAAACTTTCATTAGCTATTTGGACCCTTTTGTTCAAAGTGATGAGAGTGTTACCGTAATAGAGCAGTAGCAGCAGTTGTAAAGTAGCCAAAAGGCACGTTGTTTATTTACTGGTCTGTGGCCTTTTACTGTGCTTTGTATCAGAGTTCTTAACAAGATTAATAAATCACCTCAGTCTTAATTTTTCAAAGGCTTTTAAAGTATGTGTTTTCATTATAAGAAACTAGGGGAGATTGAATCCTGAAGAGAAATGTGTATGCATACACCTATTATTTTTGATATCTTAACGCAATTTAAGCTAGATGATTTCAACAAATTAGTGATGTAAAGGGATGTCGTCACTGTTACCCAAGTGGCAGGCTTCCAGCAACCGTTTTTATACATTTATAACAAAAACTAGAAGTACACTAAGAAATTCTTATTGAGGAGGATTATAGCCACTTTTGATACCTTTTGGAAAACCACTAGAATTTATGGTCATTAACTACTGTAAACCATCTCCAACTAGGTATAAAAACACCCTGGAGGTTTGCTTTGTTTATAAAGGGCAGATCATAGCACTAGATATATCTGAAAAAGTAATGAAAACTGCCTGCTAGTTAAGGAATGGGAAGTTAGTTCTTGGGTTGTCCTGGGTTATTTGCATTCCAGGCTTTGGTACGGCCGGCCAGCACGCGCATGCGCTGCCAGATGCCAGCTCCGCCTTCGGGAAGTGAGGGACCAGGCGTGCGTGGGTGTGACGTCACAGCGCGCACACGACGACGTCCTGTTTTGGCCCGCGATGGCGGCTGCCCCCGAGCCCTCGGCCGAAGATCCGCTGTGGAGTTTTGTGCGAGTTTTGGAGAAACGGGATGGGACGGCGCTACGGCTGCAGCAGTACGGCTCCGGCGGCGTGGGTTGCGTTGTGTGGGACGCTGCTATTGTCCTTTCTAAATACCTGGAAACGCCCGCGTTTTCTCGCGAGGGGACGCACGCGCTGAGCCGCCGGTCGGTGCTGGAGCTGGGCTCGGGCACCGGCGCTGTGGGCCTCATGGCCGCCACCCTCGGGTAAGGGCCGCGCGAGGCCTGCCGACAGCGGCTTTCCCCCAGCCCCTGTGGCGGGCCTTCACGCAAGGTTATTTTATAGGGCAGATGTGGTGGTCACCGATCTGGAGGAATTGCAAGACTTGCTGAAGATGAATATCAGGATGAACAAGCATCTTGTCACGGGTTCTGTTCAAACCAAGGTACTGAAATGGTTTGTATGGCCTTTCCGCTTGTTTTAAGATAGCGACGCGCAGTTTGTTTTAATTTGCCTTTCACTAAAAGCATGGGCGTATCATTCATACGGGACTTACTGCTTCTTGTTTAAAAAAAAAACAAGTGTTTTTAAATGGTTAAAGCGACTGTTAAAGATAGTTGTTTGGCATTTTCAAGGGGGGAAGAAATAGAAGATTTTCCTCCACCAGACTACATACTGATGGCTGACTGCATATACTACGAAGAGGTGAGTGTTCAAATGGGAGAGGTCCTTTGGTAGATGAACCGTATTTCCTGCATTCTGAATCACACATTTCTGCACATTTAACATCTTTTAGTTCTTTGGTCTTAACAGTTAATGAAGTAGTGAAGAGAAGATAGTTGGCTCAGTGGTAGAGCGCTTGCCTTGCATGCCTGAGGCCCTGGGTTCGATTCCTCAGCACCACATAAGCAAAAAGAAAAAAGCCGGAAGTGGTGTGCTGTGGCTCAAGTGGTAGAGCGCTAGCCTTGAGCTGAAGAGCTGAGGGACAGCGCCCAGGCCCAGAGTTCAGGTCCCAAGACCAGACCCAAAAAAAAAAAAAAGAGAAGATAAAAGTCACCAATAACCACTTGTGATTACCATATAGACCTGCAAATCATGCTGTGACGAGTTAAGTGCATTTGACTAGTGGCTTCTGTAAGCATTTTAAAGAATTTTACATTTAGTCCCCAGTACTGCCAGAAATAAAGTACTTTGCTAGTTGGCTGTGTTATGAAACGCTAAAGTCACTTTCCTCCCCCTTAGTTGTGCGCAGTGAATGTGTTATTAACACATTGTTAACCATGATGGGAGAATTAGGAAGCGTGGTAAAGAATGAATTCTTCTGTGGCAAGATTTGTTAGACCCGTGGAATGATTTTTCTTTAGATAACAGGTTACATAGTACTGTGGCCTTCGCATGCCTAAATGAGTATTGGGCCAATCCACATGCAAATTAGCATCAAACTTTGGTAGGATAAGTCCTTAAATTCTATGTTAAATGAAGTTAAACTTATTTTTTCTTTTTCTTTTTTGTGTCAGTGAAGGGGCTTGAACTGTTTTCTCATGGGAATTTCAAAATGCAGTCACTTAAATCCTTTTTCTAGAAACAAATCAATGTAATAGTTGATTAGGTAAGTGCTTACCAGCCCCTAGTTATAGAATTAATATGTGCTTTATTGGATTGATTAAAGATGGAGAGCTTGTAAGGGAGTTGATCCTTCTATGTTTCTAAGCCCCTTTTAGATTAGTGAGGTTTTTTTAGTCATTAATTTGAAAAATATATTTCTTTCTTGAATAGTCTTTGGAGCCTTTGCTGAAAACTCTAAAAGATCTCAGTGGATCTGAAACTTGCATTATATGTTGTTATGAGCAGCGTACAATGGGAAAAAATCCAGAAATTGAGAAAAAATATTTTGAGGTAAGTAATCTGTTAGATCCATCTTATATCCACATATAGCCTCTGAGAGGCTGTATGTGATTTTTTGTATTATTTTATGGCAATTTTGAGAGGGAAACAATCTGCTTGAACCCAAAGAGAGGATCCTTTCCCAATCCACCATCCTACAAAGCCCTCTCCATTTTGGTCTTTCTAAATCCTTTATTTCTCTTTCTTTTCCAATTTGTTAATATTTTATCTACAGAACAATGTAAAATAATGACACTTGGCTTTTCTAAGAAAGTGTTTAATGTTTCTTTATTAACACAATGCTGGAATCTTTAACCTATCAATGACATAGATGTATATATGCATTACTTTTGGAGAATACATGATAAAAATGTGGAGGTGATAACTTCTATATTTTTATGAATTAAAATTTTCAGCATTTTTTTAGATGGGTAGACTCACAGGAATGTGTAAAGGAGTACATACCATTTTAGGTATCTTTCACTCTCTTCCTCCAGGTGTGGCCTAATTCATCCTGTTATAAGTGACTCCTCTTGAGGATGCATCTGTTTAAAAGACAACTTCAGTTTATTGGAAAAGCAACTATATAGGTGGCATTGATCAAAATGGATTATTCTTATAAATGGACTTGTTGACTCAAAACTCTTTTATACAACTACTCAGATTACAAAAACCTCTTAAAACAAATGCAATTATATGACTTCCTCAGATAATATTTCTCTAAAATAACGAAGGTTAGCAAACTTTCGAAATTGTATGTGTAATTGAAATTTTTATAGTATTTTTGTTGAAGTAAAACAGATATAAAATACTTATCGAGTATACAGTTTAGTTTTTCATGTGCTCCCATCCATTACCCAACATAAACATACAGAACATACTCAAGACCTCAGAAAGTTTTCACATTGCCGCTTACTAATCAGCACTCGTCCAGCAGAAATCACAATTCTGACTTCTACCACCACAGACCACTTTATATTACTGAGTTTAATGTGTATCTCTTTTAAACTTATAGCTCCTTCAGCTAGACTTTGACTTTGAAAAAATTCCTTTGGAAAAACATGATGAAGAATATCGAAGTGAAGATATTCACATTATTTACATCAGAAAGAAAAAATTGGTAAGTACACCCTCAGTTTTTCAGCCTCTGTGAGATTTCATCAGCTAGTTGTTGTCCCTGGGCTTAGGTGTGGTCCAGCCCTTTATCATGATGTAGTTTAAAAGCTATGATGATTCACTGACTCAGGCACTTATACACATATTAAGATAACTTCATCTGCTTTCCCTTGCTCTAAAATAAGTCAGAACCAGGCCATGGTGTTACACACCCCCTGACTGCAGCATTCAGAAGGCTGAGACAAAAAGATGGGTTGCATGCCAGCCTGGGCTACCTAGCAAAGTGCTGTCTCAAAAGAAATAAAGGCAGGCTTTTTTTTTTATGTTTGGTTTGATGGTTTCTGTGATGCTGGGGATTGAATTCAGGAGTTTTGAGCATTCTAGGTAAGCACTCTGTCACTGAGTTAAATCTCCAGTCTGGCTTTTTTTCTTTCTTTGGTGATGATACCAGAGCTTGATTGAACTTAGGACCTCACACTCTTGCTTGGCTCATCCCAGCTTTTAGCTGGTTATTTTGGAGATGCAGTCTTAGGGACTTTTTTGCCTAAGTTGCCTTTGAATCTTGGTCCTCCAGATCTCAGCCTCCTGAGTACCTAGGATTACAGATGTGAGCCACCAGTACCTAGCCTGGTAGGCTTTTAGAAAGCTTTTACCGAGTATAAATTACAGTGGTTCATGTGCATGTGGCAGAGGAAACCTGTTTACCTTGTAGCTGAAGATAAAAGGAGAGAGAAAAGTTGGGGAAGGGTCCACTATCACTCTCTTTCTAGCCACATCCCTCATCACTGCAGAAACCACCTGCTATGCTTTGTCTCTTTAAATTTGCACCTCCTACCAAAGCACCTCCTTGCCCAGGGGAAACAAACCTTTAACATATGGGCCTTTGAGGACACCTAATCCAGACCACAGCTTTGGACATTACCTTCAAACAGAAGATTAGTCCTTTTTAAGTTTCTTTTCTGTAAATTGTTTTTAAAAGACTAGTTCTAACTTTTGAACTTTCTCTAGTCATTTTAGTTTTATGGGGTTTTTTTGTTTGCTTGTCTTGTTGTTGTTGTTGTTGTTGTTTCAAAGGAAAATGTAAGCTGTAGGCAGATTGTTCCATAAAAGAAACACTCAAAACTAAATAGAATTTATTTTTCAATTTTTAATTGTTATTGTAAAGGTGATGTATAGAGTTACGTCAGGTAATGAATCCATTTCATTTTGGACAGTGTTACTCCTTCCATAGTTCTCTCCCAGTTGAGAATTTGTTTCCTTTTTTTGTTGCATTCTTTTTGTGGCACATCAACCACATTTATTCAAGTTGCACCTGTGCATCTAGAATTTGACCCTATAGAAGGGATGAATGGTACCTATTTTGTATCTTGAGCACTTTTTGTAAATGTGACCTGTAGGAGGCTTTATGACATTATGACTTGAATTAATGAGCTAAACCCTAGTAACTGAACTTGTTTCTATTTTTGCTCTGATTGAATTTGTTCATGCATGTTTTCTAATTATGTGTGTTCTAGCTAAATGCAAATGTAACAGTTTTATGGACCAAGAAGATATTAGGACTAATTCTAAAGGAGAGGAATGGGATTAGAAGTCAGTTAACATTTATATGGCATGCTGCTGGAGATACAAAGAAAAAGAAAAAATATTTGTGTTTTAGGAGATCAAGTTTTATCAGAATTTTTTTTTTTTTTTTGGCCAGCCTTGGGGCTTGAACTCAGCATGGGCACTGTCCTTGAGCTTCTTTTGCCTAAGGCTAGCACTCTACCACTTGAGCCACAGTGCCACTTTCAGCTTTTTCTGTTTATGTGGTACAGAGGAACTGAACCTAGGGCTTCATGCATGCTAGGCAAGCACTCTACCACTAAGCTACAGGCCCAGCACTGAAACTAATTTTAAAGTAGGGGTACTTATGCTTGTAATCCTACTCAGGAAGCTAAGATCTGGAGGATTGAAGATTGAAGCGATCAATTACCATTAGTTCCGGAACTAATTTTAAAGTAGGGTTTTTTTGATGCACAAAGATTTTGTGTTCCTGAATATAAAGGCTTGTCCGTATTTCCCCCCCCCCTCCACCAAATAAATCCTTTCTTTTAAGCTGGTATGAGTCACATATCATAAAATTTACCCTTTTAAAGTATGCAAAATAGTGTTTTTAGTACATCTATACAGAGTTGCACAAACCGTCACTAGTTTCTATTGTTTTTAAACATTTTCATCACCCCCAAAAGAAACCCTATGCCTATTAGTCCTGATTCCTTATTTTCCTCCTGATAGTCATGAATCTGTTTCTAGGCATGGTTCCATTCTGCATATTCATATAAACGTAATCACATATTATGTTACTTTTGTGTCTAGCTACTGTCACTCAGCATAATACTGTCAAGGTTCACCCATGCTGTGGCATGCTTTAACATTTTACTCCTGTGTTTGAATAATACTTCTTTGTTTGCTTACATATATCTTACCCATCCCATCATCGGCTGGTAGCATTTCACTTGCTTACTTTTGGGCTGTGATGAATAATGTTGTGAACTTTCATTTAGAAATCTTTTTGTGAGCATACTTTTTTTTCAAATCTCTTGGGTATATACCTAGAATGGTACTGTTATGTTCTATGGGAACTCTGTGTAACTATCTTGAGGAATTAGGAACCTATTCTAAAGCTACTATATCATTTTGCATCCAACCAGCAGTATATGAGTTCCACTTTCTCCACATCCTAACACTTGTTACTGCTTATCATAGATAACTATAGCCATCTTAGTAAGTGTGAAATAGAATCTTACTGTGGTTTTTATTTTCATATCCTTAATGACTTAATGGTACTGAGTTTCTTTTCATGTCCTTAGAGAAATACTTGCCCATTTTCAAATTGAGGTTTTTTTGTTTTTTTTTTTTCTTTTTTTGGTGAGTTGTGAGGCTTGAACTCTAGGCCTGGGCACTGTCCCTCAGCTCTTTAGCCCAAGGCTAGTGCTCTACCACTTGAGCTACAACTCTACTTCTGGCTTTTTGGTGGTTAATTGGAGATAAGAGTCTCACAGACTTTCCTGCCTGGGTTGGCTTTATACAGCGATCCTTAGATCTCAGCCTTCTGAGTAGATAGGATTACAGGTGTGAGCCACCAGTGCCCAGCTTAAAATTTATTTTTCTTTTCTTTTCTTTTTTTTGGGGGGGGGGTCCGGTTGTGGGGCCTGAACTCTGGGCCTGGGCGCTGTCCCTCAGCTCTTCAGCTCAAGGCTAGCACTCTACCACTTGAACCACAGCGCCACTTCCAGCATTTTTTCTTATGTGGTGCTGAGGAATCGAACTCAGGGCCTCATGCATGCAAGGCAAGTGCTCTACCACTGAGCCACCTTCCCAGCCCCCAAATTTATTTTTCTATTCTAAGAGTTCTTTACATATTCTGGATACTAGGCACTGGATGCTTAATGTACAATCACTTTTTTGAGTTTTCTTGGCTTGCTTTCTGGACTCTATTCTTACTGGAGCACTATACTATAATTACTGGAGCTCTATACTCAAGTCACACCTCCTGTTTCACTTTTTGGTGGTTAATTGGAGATGGAGGCTCCCAAACTGGCTGGCTTAAATAACTGTGATCCTCCAGATCTCAGCCTCTTGAGTTGTATTACAAATATGAGCACTTTATTTTTTAAGGTTTTTAATTTTTAAATAAAACTTGTATATCTGATTATTTTAAACTTTTTAATTAGTGTATATTAGTTATATAAAAGGATTTGACTGGAACTCCCTACATGCATGCAATGTTCTTTGACAGGTTTCATTCCTAGTATTCTCTCTTTACCACCAAAGGTTTTTCATTTTGATAATGTCCAATATATCTGTTTTTTCCCTTTGGATGTTTGTGGATGTTTGTGTTTTAGGTGTCAGCTAAGACCCATCTCTATACATTATACATGGTTATTCACTTTCATTTTTTTTTTTCTCATAGAACTCGCCACCGTGAGACCTTTAATCATCTTACTCAAGCTTCTCACAGCCTGGGGGAGCTAGAGATGGGAATGGAGCATGTGAATGCAGCATGGGAAGATTCTGTTTACAGATTTTTTTCAGCATGTCTTTAGAGATCTGGCATATGAATGACAACCACGTGTGCTGCCTGCAATATGAAATGACTGCCTTGCCTGCTGGTGGGCCTGAAACCCAACTTAGATTTACTTAGCTTCAGCATCAAGTTCTGCTTATAAGAAACAGTGGGAATTGGTCACTCAAATAAACTAGGTAGTAATAATGTTAGCCTACAGTATGCCAAAGTGAATAAATAATAAGGCAGCATGATGATCCACTCAGCATATTTCAGGAAACTAGAGATAAATTGATCCATTTTCTAAAGATACATGTCTATTACTATATAATGTTTTAAATTCAGACCAGGTGGCTTCACTTTTTAGAGTCATATCATAGTGTTGTCTTTTGCTTCATCTTCATTATAGGTATTCACCAAACTTTTGTTCTTGTCCTCCACTGTGTGAATATCTTTATACTTCTCATTTGGGAAGGATGAGAATAGAAAGCCTAATTTCAGACTTATGTATTTTTGTGGTTTGTACAGTTTTACTTGTGTGTAACTTCCAGGAAAATCTGGTTTTTAAAACACTGTTATTAAGTTAATTTGTTTACGCGAAACAGTGAAAGATTTTTTAAATAACTTCAAATGTAGTTCTATACAACTTATCAAATGATTTTTAAACTGTTTTCTCCATTTTTTTGTTACGATAATCATCTATTCACTTAGCCTAATCTGTGAAGGACTAATCATGCCATCAAGAGTAGTAACCAGATGGAATTCTGGTATTTATAGGCACTGGTGCTAGGTGCAAATTTTATGTGGTAAATAAACATTGTCTTTGAGACCCTGTGACTTTGTTTCAGAAATAGCTTTAAGAAAACGAACATCCAGGATCAGGGACTGCTTTCCAGAAAGTTCAAAAGCAGCCTGATTTAGAGACTGAAGATTAAAGCCAGTAGAACATTTCTTCATTTTCAGTTTGCTTTACTGTGCCTTTGCGGAATTCTTCATTCATATTGTTCTTAGCATTTCATTAAGCATTTTTCCCCAAGCAGTTAGTTACCGAACTACATGGGCTGAAGTAGCCCAGATTCCTCACATCTCTTTTTCACTGTTTTTCTAGGCTCTCTTATTTTGCTTTTAATATGTAGCACCCACCTGTGGGTATGGAGCTGATGGACCTCTAGGTTTACTATATGAAAACCCAGCTCTTTTACCTCAATGAGGTGCAACTTACAGTCAAAAGATTTCCTGAAGGAATCAGGCTGAAGTCAGCCTCTTTTCAACTTTGCTGAAATCACACCTTTGCCTGCCTTTGCTCTCTGTCTTGCTGCTCCCACTCCCTTATTCGCCACCTCAATAAGAAGTCACTCCTTCTGGAGAATGACCTAAGGTATTGACAAGAGAAGTAGGTGACCTATGAAAATATCAAGCAGCTTTATTTTTTCCTGCTCTAGAATAATGCCTTCACCAAAGTAACAGGTGCCTTGTCCATGTCCCTCATTCTAAGATCAGAGAGCCCCTGGGGCCAGCACTAGTGGACAGTGCAGAGAATGTGCTCTATCACCACTGCCATCCCACACTGCCAGGCAAGCAGGCGTGCAGTATCAGGTATGGACGTAGTCCTGTGCTGTTCCTTCTTGCAGGGAACTGTCTGTACTCCAGAACCACAAGAAGGAGGGCTGAGCGAATAACTCAAGACCTAAAATGCTTGTTAAGGAAAGAATACCATTTCCAAATATGTTTGGATTTGTGTTTATCCACCAGATTAACTGCAGGGTTTTGTTTTTTGGGGTCCAGTCGTGGGACCTGAACTCTGGGCCTGGGCACTGTCCCTCAGCTCTTCAGCTCAAGGCTAGCGCTCCACCACTTGAGCCACAGTGCCACTTCCGGCTTTTTTTCTTTTTGCTTATGTGGTGCTGAGGGCCTCATGCATGCAAGGCAAGCGCTCTACCATTGAGCCACATTCCCAGCCCAACTGCAGTTGTTTTATTTCAAAGCCTGGAGACAGCTGGAGGGGGCACATGATATAACCCTGCCAGTCTGAGACTTGGTGGCTAGAAGACTTACATAGCAGTGGAAAGGATGCAACCAACATGAGGTATGATGCCACTAACTGTTCAGTCTGAATGTATCTAACTGTCCAATCTCAAAGCATACCAGTCTTTTGGGAAACTGCTTGAGCGACCCAGGGACTTTGGGCAGGCAGGGGTGGCCAGTGCATAATATAAACAATAAATTTTTTTAGAATCCAGCTGTAGTTAGCTAAGGATAGGATTATGACCTTACTGAAAGGCAGTGAGTGTGTCTCGAACCATGCTGCACAGGACATCACCTGGAAAATTGAAAGCAAGCAAAAGCCCTATCCTAATTCCAATTAAGTCAAGTGTGCCATTGTTATGAAAGGATGGCTTTAATATTTAGCCTAAATTGAAAACCATTGTGAGAAGGAAATCTTTCAGCATCTCCATCCCAAGGGGAGAAAAGAGTGGACTAGGGAAGAGAATGTATATAAAAAATTAAGGCACCTGTTAAGAGTAGGCCTGTGTTGCACAGAGAAGGAAAAACAATCTGATGTGGAATGGGTTTTAAAGAAAATGGCTGAGCTTTAGAAACTGAAGTAGACTTAAAGTAGCTGAAAATCCAGGGAATCTGGTCATTGACAAGGTAAAGGTAAGAATGCCTGCAGACAGGGAGGGAGATGCAACAGATAGACAAAAAAAAAATTAGAAGTTTCACCTCCAAAGACTTGAATTTCTTCTATGCCATTTATAACCAAAGATACTTGGGGTGGCATAGCTTTGCTCCAGTTCACAACCAAGGCTCCATGTTTATATGACTGGTGAATTGGAGGGTAAGATTGGGTTCAATTGTAAGATGTATCAATAACCCAGAATGTTAGTATGGTTTTTTCCTACCACATCTTTCCATTTTTTTTCTTTGAAGTTACCTGTATTAAATATGTTCATCAAATTTTAGACATTCATGGGCCATAGAGATATGACTGTTGTTCTATTGGTTCCCTGTAGGTGGCGTTACTTGGCTTCAACTTTATTACACAGTGTATAACAAAGACGTAAAAACCAAATCTATTTTGACATATAGTCACTATTGGATTTTAAAGATGAATTTAAAAAACAAGCTATTACAAGTTCCTTGGAAAAAATAACATGTAAATAAAATTGGATCATGTTCTTATAAAATTGTACCTGGCTTATCTGTCCACTTCATTCTGATACACATTGCACAAAGCTACAGAAATTACAATTCATAATACATTTTATCTGTTACTAAGATCTTGAGTGGGAGACAGACATTTAAGAGGCTAATTTAGTTCAAGTGAGGTTCTAAAACTTAGATTCACCTTGACAACAGTACCTTTTACATAATACATGATTTTACATCTGAGGTATTTGGAACTCCTAATTAATTTTAATTAGTTTTTCAGATCAGTGTTCTTTCCTCATTAGAGTAGCTTTTCTATCAAAAGACTGAAGTTCAGTCTGTCTTTGGCAATCCTATAATCTCAGGGCATCCATTTGACCTTTCTCCCTGCCCCCTACCCCTTTCAAGAAATACTGGGACTTGAAAGGTTTGAGTCATCAGTCATAAACATTTTGCAAAGATTTCCCACATAGAGGCCTAATTAAAAAATTTATGGAAACAAAATTTTTAACTGAACTTAAATAAGGAAAAACAAAGCTGCTTTTCATAATTTATAATTTTGCATAGGAAAAGCAGTAACTTTTCAAATAGTTCTCATAGTTAAGTTTAAACTGTTATATATTTGCAGTCATTATTAGATGTTATGGGTTGGTGGTGTTCTAAGACTATCCAGTGAGTGCTTAATTGTGATACATTATAATTTTTTGGCAGTATTGGGATTTGAACCCAGAACTCTACCACCTGATCCATGCCTCTGACTCGTTTTTTTGCTTTGGTTATTTTTCAGATAAGGGCTTGCATTTTTGTTCAAGACTGGTCTTGAACCTATGGCCTCCTGACTAGCTGTTATTGTAGGCATGAACCAACATACTTGACCTAGTAATTTAATGTTAGTAACAAGATATGATAGTTTGCAAAAACAAAAAACATGCCAGAGCAAGTTATCTGCGAGTTTTTTCTCATTTGCTTTTTAAAACAAGTATAGAGCATATATATGCCCTAGGACTAGATTATCTGGATTTGAATCCCAGTTCTAGGATTTAGTAGTTGTGTAACTTTACAGATTTAAATGATACATAGTTTTCCTCGTGTATTTTGTTTTCCTGTGACAGTAGAGGATTTGAAGTTGGAACCCTGAGCTTGCTAGTTAGGTGCTCTGCCACTTGAGCCTCACCCCTAGTATACATGCATATTGAGGATCATCTCTACCTCATAGGCTGCCGCTGGGGGATTCAGGTTAGCACATACAGTGTAACCCTCTGGCACACCGTGTCAGTGCTGTGACTAGAGTGGGAGTGGGATCACAGTGGGGCCCTAGGCTCATGGTGTGAAAGCTGCCTGTCTTCCTAAAAGTATGGAGTGTGTTCCTCTCCCCAGACAGCTGAGAGGGAAAATGCTGAAAACTGTAGTTCACAGACCATTATTTGAACAACTAAGCAGTTCTAGAAGGAAGGGATCAAGTAGAAGAAAATCACTTTCACAGTCTTAAAGCATCTTGTGAATGGAAAGACCAATGGAGTCAAAGGAAAGCCTCCTGTCTAACTGTGGGAGCTCATTTCTGCAGGCCACAGCTTACAGATTAACACCCCTTGCCCTGAATCCTTTATTAAATCTTTCTTCCAGGTTCTTATCTCTGTTAAACCTAAGAACAACTATTAGGGAGCAGGTAATTAAAGTACAACAGGTCCTTCAATCTTCATGTCAGTGTAACTAAGAGTTACAGCAGGGGGCTGGAAAGTTGGCTCCATGGTAGAGTGCTTGCCTGGCATGCATGAGGCCCTGGGTTCGATTCCTCAGAACCACATAAACAGGAAAAAAAAAAACAAAAAAAACTGAAAGTGTGGGGAAAAAAAAAAAAGCTGAATGTGGCGCTGTGGCTCAAGTGGTTGGGCGCTAGCCTTGAGCTGAGGGACAGCGCCCAGGCTCAGAGTTCAGGCCCCATGACCAACCAAAAAAAAAAAAAAAGTTACAGCAGTTGCCTCATTGGGTAAGTGGTCTTTTCTGTGTGCTCATGTGGGTGTGGGTGGGGGGGTATGGGGGGTGTGGGGGGTGGCATTCAGAGGCTTAACTAATTCTTCAAGCTTCACGACTGTATTTACCACACCTTGAGTTGTTCCTGTTTCTCCATCAGTGAGTATAAAGTGGCACATACACTTTATCATACTGAACTTCCAAGGCCTTTTAAAAATAGCCTATTGTTATTATAAAGGTATTGTACAGAGGAGTAATCATTTCATAAGTCAGGTAAGAAGGTCATTTCTTTTTGGACAATGTCACCTCTTCCTTTGTTCTCTCCCACTTCCCAATTCATGAAAAAGTGATTGTAAATACTAAATAACTCCTAAGTTCCAGAAATCTTTATCACTTATCTGTAATATATTTACCTACTTTGATCAGTTCACCTTTTTAATATTCACAAGGTTGAAAACCTTGCAAAGCAAAACCATGACTTTTGAAAAAGAGCTGGCCTAGATGGAGCCCTTTGTAGGCCTTAGGGTTTGAGTAGTTGGTAGGTATCTTTTGGGTTATTAACTCTAAGCTACCATTGACCATATGTTAAACACTTGATGATGGGTCAGTATGTTCAAACATTCTTTAGTAATTTTTAGAGAATTAATTTTAACACAGATGTGTTCTTGGACGCATAGCCAATCAATAACAATATGAGTTCCAGGTCCATGTGT